TAATAAATAATATATAGGAAGTGTATTCATCCTATTTCATCTCGAAAACTTACTTATATACGAAGAATAAGTAATGTAGTCGATTGCTACAGCAAATACATCTTTACTTTATCAGCAAAGTGACTTAAGGGTACTCTTGACAGTCTGGCGTGGTGGTCAATGTATCGAGATTATACGCTGCACTAACACAACCTTGGTTAGAGTCCCACCAGGAGTGCTGATGAGACCAGATAAGGCGAGGTCTATACTGCAGTCCACTCCTTCCTTCAACTAATAATCCCCTTATCATCTTTAACGAAATCGGGTGAATACACTCGATATCAACGATCCGAAGTTGGTCGAGCGGCAGTCACATTGCTTCGCCAGGGCAATGTCCGGTATGTATGTCATGTGGAAGCTGGCTCAACGAAATGTTCCTTGATGTACTTTGCTTTGGACACAGATGCTGCGTCATCACTGTCCATACGCGGAGTTCCAACCGAATTTGCCCTACAGCTGATGTTGATGTGAGGAAGGAAAACTGACGTGCAAGCGGCATCTAGGAAGGTCTTACTCTCTTGATCATGCAACCCTGTCACGGGGACTGCTCCAGGTTGTGATTGAGACGAGTGCCGGTTTATTTCCACAGCGCCTCTATGAGGCAACTCACCGATCGAAGAAGCGAGCATGGCGCAACATAACTGGCGAGAGTAATAACCTGCCGCCGCAAGAAAGACGAGGTATAAGTGAAGTCCACTATGGTTGTGTGGTGAGAATTTTGCTTCTGATTGGTATAAGTGGTCTCCTCGGCTGATAGTTCTGATAGTGCTAATGCTGAAATCGGTACAGCTGGCGTAATTTGATTGGCCGATGCGAAGGATGAATAAGGAAGAGGGGCTGTAATGAGTAAGATTCGCCTATCTTCTAGGCATTTTCCTAGTCGCTTAGCTTCTTATTTATCTTACATACACCAATGTTATATTGAATTAAATAATTATTTGTACAATGTACCTAGAAATGCTACATTTTTTGCAAAAAAATACCCTCTTCTGATTGATCACAGTGTGGTTACATTAAAAATTCTACTGAAAAGTTTGATTATGCGCAATTCTGATATATGTTAGAAAAAAGTGCTAACGACACAGTGGTTTCGTCACCTCCGAGCTATGAAGCAAAAAATTAAAAACACGGCTATCAAATCCAAGATAGTGTAGCCTTTATTTTCTTCACAGTTTTCTTTCACTGCATAGAAGTGGTTTACTTATTTCACAACTTAGTCGTGTTGTCAGGGTGACACCTGTAAACACGCCTAGTTCTAAGTCTTTCTTTAAGGTATCTATGACAATTTCCAGTGTCGGACCGTAGACTCGATACATTACCAGACGTTTTGCCAGCATAGTAGCCAGAATGGTCAACTATATTCATTTTTAGTTCTAGTATCTATTTTCTTTGCACTCTTTTACCTTATTAGTCAAGCTTTCCCTTAACTCTAAATTTATTTCACTCGGATTGAGTAGTTTTCCTAATTTCTGACATATTTTGAATAAGAGCTGTATTTGCCCTAGATCACATAATGTGTTAAGTACTGATAGTTTAATTTTCTGATAATGGCATCAGTAGTTCTCACGATACCATTAAATTTCACTTCTCCTTGTCTCCTGCAGTGCATTTTCATCCAGGTTGGACTGCAGTTTTCACCTCGTCTGGGTCTCAGCTATTATAACGGGAATCTGGCCTGGATAGTGCAGAATACATGTTACCACCGAGTCTTATGGCCACGGATAGTAATAAATCACAGAGCAGGCGTGAATTTCAGGGCAAGCTAGGCATCCCCCATACAAAATTGTGTAGTGGGATTGTCGATGAGACAAACTTGTATTTGCATCGTGAAACCTATTCCATATCACTGGGAAAGTTTAACTATCAGTCCTTCACCTAATGAGACCAAGGGGGTAATACAGCTCATTTATTAGGCCTTGGCTTGCTGTAAACTGCTGCTTATCAGTTATTCACATTTCCTCCGTCTTTGTGATTGAATTCTTCAGCAGTTTTTACATTTTGTTATTTCTCTGAGGCGCAGCATTAGCCAGGATTGTCCGGATCTAGAAAGAGTCAGCAGAAAAGAGGCTATTTGGTCAACCGATAACTTGGTCGGGCTGTTCGAATATATTCTTCTACTTGAATAGCCTTTGGATATTGCTAGGTCGATTAGGCACTTATTAAGTGAATTTAAAACGAGCCAAGCAACTTGAAATGCTAAAATGTCTTTTAAGGATTGAAATTATATATATATATATATTTGTAATATATCAATTCACATCTTTGGAACACGACTCAACTGCCTGCTTGCATTTCCCATTTTTTCATCTGGTTCTAGGAATTTAACTTTTTGATGGAAAGCTTTAAATATAAAGGCTCATTTTCAAGTTTGACCTTGGACTGATCTTTACTTGAATTTTTTTTCAGCTTAAGTTGCAAGTTTGCCTTTTTCTCCTGGAAACCGATTAATACACAAATGAGGAACTCCAAATTCTTCAAGTATATTTGTTTAAGAAGTATATTCCTCTACGTATTGTAACTACAATGCTATTAGATCTATTGAATCCTATTTTTCGATCAGATAAATAAAAACAACTGATATTATTTTTATTAAAACAATTGAAGGCCACGATGCTGTGCTCTTTGGTATTATCTTAGTATCCTTCTGATATATAGAAGTGGGCTGAACTCGTTTGCGCAACATGGTCGTGTTGTCAGAACGACTTGGTTGATGAATCTTGTCCGATGCCCTCTGCCATAATAACTTCCGAAGACAAGAGTCTCTTTGACCAGTTGTAGCCTGGTGCTGAGAATGGCAAGACTCACTTACCATGCTGACTGCGGGACCGGTGAAACGTCTGTGAATGTACCAAGTCCACGGTCTGACGCTGTGAATTACTATAACTACTATAGCAGTGGAATTCGGGCAAGATGCGTCTAACTAAGTCACTCAGACAACACGATCAAGTTGCAAAAACGATGTCAACTTATTTTTGTTACTGATTTTGCTTGAAAGCTTTGTTTTGGCAACACGGCAAAAATAGTTTGGGGGAATTCCTTTAGCTAACAAATAGAATAGATGCAAACATTAAGTTTACCGTGGAGTTGAAAAAGGAAAATAAATTGCCTTTTTAGATGTATTAATTAGCAAAGAAGGTAATAAGTTGGGTAGATACGTATATAGTAAACCCACTCACACAGGTTTCCTTATTAATTTCTTATCGAACCATACATATAAAGTAAAAATAGGAGTTATGAAGTCTATGATAATAAGGAGTCTGTGTCTAGCGAGCGCAAACAATAGGGACCAGGAGATTGGTAGATTGGGGGATATACTGTTTCAAAGCAATGCTATTAGGATTAGTAGCAAATTACTTATTAATTGTAGTTAACAAGGTTAGGGGAATTCGCTATGAGGCGCGGGATAGAAAACTGGACAATTCTACTCTATTCCTGATTTCACCTTCCCGTTAGCTTGCGAAAAAGTTGGGTGAGGAAATGGAATATAAGAACAATGTATGAGGAGATATTAGCACTTTCTTCAGTAGTTCTTTCGTTTATAGAATATTCAGACCCTCTTTCTAGATAAGGATGATACACGGTTTTGTGTTCATGTGGTATATGGGGGGGGGGAGACCTGCCGACCCAAGTTACAAGAGACTATGTGAACGCCAAATCGTTTGTAGAGGTATGTAGGTCGAAAAATCTGAGCTCGCTGAACACATTTTGCCAATACAAGACGCTCAATAGACTGGTCCAAAACACAACTTTTGCGAGTCAAGGGGACCTTACGTCAAAGGGAGTCGATAGAAATTAACATAACAGCCAACGTCTTGAATAGGAAGAACGAGTGTAGAAAACTAAGTAGGAACATTTTGTGGCTGGTGGATAGCCTTAAGGAAAGGAAGAGAGAGGGGGTGCAGGAAAAGACACTGAGTAAGATAACGAGGCTGGATTAGCCTCGTGTCTAGCTGGGACTATCATACAATCCATGATATGAATATTGCATACACACAATAGACAATAGCACAAGCCCAAACATTATTCAGCATTAGGCGATCGTACGTTAGCTTTTGTGTGTTGAAACAGCCGCCACTGAACGCATTTTCGGTTCGGGAAGTTAACTTCATTCATTTGCAAACATGTAGAGGAAGGTTGAAGTAGCCAACCATATCAGGAGAGGCCTCTTGAGATCGCGATAGTAGGTGTATAAAAGGTGACTATGGTTGCAGCCGGCCAACTTTTCTCTTGGTTTATTATATTTTTGCTCTATTTCGTAAGGTATGAAATCTTGCT